CACTGCACACCTTCCCCTCTCACTGCACACTCTCCCATCAGAATACTGGGTGAAAGATCCTGGAGGGAATCCTGTGGTGAAACATGGTAAAAGGGTCTAAGCGGTATGACCTCTGACAGGAAAGTGGTGACGGACACGAGTGACATCCGGATAAGGCGTGATGCAGCAGGGCGTGCTGAGCTGGGCAGCTGCATAAACACAGAGCACCAGCCCTTTAATTACACCACTGTGTTTACAGCCATTCTGTGTTCTCTCATCGCCTCTGTTTTTATGCTTTCCCTAAAATAGGCTGTACGTGGGTAAAGGCAGGAGCGCACCACTCCGCCTCACCCCGCCGGCCACCCGTTGGGGGGAGGGGGGGCATATTGCCATCACAAGCCTATTAATAGGCTGAGTCAAAATACGGGTCGTGCCTGTGGGCAGACGGCAGCATGTCACTTCCTGCTGCGTCGTGGCTCCTCAGAAATGGACACCCCAGCCATCCCAGAGGAGACATCGGGGAGTTACTCACAGCACAATGGAGAGAGCAGCGATATTCAAACAAGGTGTGGAGAGGGAGGGTCTGCCTTGGAGGAAGGGGGGGGCGGGGAGGCGAAACAGCACTTAAAAGGGGGCTTATTAGGGGGCCGCTGACTACTAACACAGCATCTTCTCCTCTGGCACCCAGATCCCATCCCCCGCATCCATGATGCCGCTGTTCACCCGTCCGCCGCAGTCATTTACAGTTAGAGTCCGCTGTCTGCTCTGCTGCCCCCACTGGGCTGTGAGGGGCTTCTTGTTCTCTGTTCACACACTGTGTCATTGTCAGGCCAAAGATGTTCTCCTATGTAGAAACATCATGGAGAGTTTTCATTTGATCTTATCAGCTTGATAAAAATAAGCCCCAAACAAGAAAATACATGAATGGTGACACACACACACACACACACACACACACACACAGAGACACACAAACACACACACAAGTTGGTGTACCTATCTAAATGGGGACCATCCATTCATTTCTATGGAAAAAACCCTAATCCCAATCATCACACCCTTAACCCCTACCCATCCCTAACCTTAACCATAAGTAACCAACCCAAATACAAGACTTTTGGCATTTTTACTTTTTTGATTGCATTCACAGATTTTTATAAAACTGAAGTTATCTAAATGGGGACCTCAAAAGATGTCCCCAAAAGTAGGGAAATTTCAGGTTTTACTACACTTTGGGGACAATTTGGTCCTCAAATGTGATCTATGGAAACCCACAAGAACAGATCCAGACACACACACAGATTCAATAACTGTTGCCTGGTGCCTCTGAGCTTAAGGGCCTTCAGAATGATCCTCATGTCAGCCACAGAGGCACCAGGGTGCCGGAGAAGCTCCCATGATCTCATTGAGCTCTAAACCCAAATGTCTGCAAGAAGACACACAGATATACATAAAAGTATGGTGATCTTGTAAGGAAACTTGGCGTTTTCCTCTGTGAGTCAAGTTTGTCACCTGGCTGACTCACAAAGAGTCTATTCGTGTGAACTTGTGCATATATCTTGCTCATGGAACTGCAACTATAGTGCATCCGACCTATAGGGGGCAGTACAGGGAGGGTCCCCAGCCACTAAGCCTGCGTGAGCAGGGCACGGGGTGACCGTCCAGGTGACCGTCGCCGGTGTGGCTCAGGAAGCTGAAGTCTCCTCTACCTTCTGTGGCTTTTCGAGCGGCGTATCAAAGTCTACTGGATGTATCTGCATGTAAAAGGAAATAATTAACGTCTCTTGAAATCATTCATGGAAGATTGCTTAGCCCTATAATCTAACTAAGGTGCAAAATAGTCCTCCAAGCTGTGGGAAATTAGTTAGGCGTTGTGGGGATTAAAAAAAAAACACTGATTGATACTAGTGCTGAAGAATAATACGCTATCAGAGCCTTTCTTATCAAGATAAATATATGTTCATATTTTAATAAGTGGTATTTTCATAATGAACTATTTCTTTCAGTGCCACAGGAGGAAATGTCTGTCAAAAGGCAGGAGTCTGGGGAGTGTTCTGCCGCCGCGGAAACGTGAGCCAAGTGCTGGAGGTGTTTGACGGGAAAAACCTCCGTCCTGCTCCGTCCCTAAGCAGCATTTAGGGGCGCCGTACCTTTTTTAATGCAGCTACCAAAAGCATATCAGAGTGACGGGTCTGGCTGGCTGCTGAATACTCGTATTTTCTCTGTATTTTGACTGCATTGTAAATAAACCGTATTTGACATTAACGGAATTTCGCAGAAATGTCAAAAACTGGCACGGTAACCTGTAACTACTGTAACTTATAAATCAATGACATTGTGTTCATTTAAGCAACACGTTGCAAAAGTGGTTGATTTAAACAGCAGCATTAATCGATTATTCTGTATGTTCACTATATAAAACCAAGGCATGATAATAAAAAAATATTAGACCGGCACACGATAATCAGCTATTAGTTTTAAATTTAACACTATTTGCGGAAGACGAAATTTACTGCCATTTACGTTTTCTGGCATGTACAGTGCCAATTATTATACCTACAATTTGCATTTGCTATCGAACTTGAATCAGTTACAATTCCATCTTAGAATTACAGTGTCATTACGTATTCCTGAATAATGGCCACCGTCTTTATCAAACCGTATGAACACGTCAGATTTTTCATACATATGGGCTATAAATGACAACGGACGAACACGAAAGAGAAAGGTAAAAAATACACTAAACACCGAACAATGTATTCATTTTATTCAGATAATACTGGTGTTGTAAAAAATTTAATTATTTTATTTCAATGGTACATTCTGAAAACAAACTTTGGCGAATATGGGACCGAGGGACGAAAAACGACCGCCGAGGTGCTTCGTCGCGTGCAGCCGAGCGAGGAAGCCAGCGCGCAACGCCAGCTGTAAATAACGGTCCATGCCGTAGATTATATACATTATCGAAATCAACGCGGTTTAAGTCACCCGTGATTCTGTTAATGAAATAAAAAAATATTAAACTATTTTAAAACTTTTTTTCCCGCAGTATCGGTTGTACATGGTTAAAGACGGTTAAACAACAACAACAAATAATAATAATTATTATTATTACATGCATACCTGCGTTAACAATAGTTTCCATTTGTAATAGAGAGAATGGTTTAAATTTATGTCATGTTTTATTCTATTATGTGTTTTGGAGAAATTAAGAGAAATTAGAGAACACTGAAAATAAGCCATAGTAGGCCTATCTGATATATGCAAAAACACGCACAAAGCCCTAATATTAATTTATTTTACAGCATATTTAACCAAAATAAAATCACAAATAGAGAGCTATTGCTTTTCATTTTTATTTCTTTTTCTATTTCTCTTCTATTTTTTTTCTAAGTCGAGCTTAAAACATTAGCGATCATCCAAAATATTCGTTTCAATATTATACAAAAAAATATTATTAGCCTTACAGTTCACTTTTCACAGAACAGATTTTATCTGGCAAAATGCTCAACATTTCGATTACATTTTAAACAGTTCATAAAACTTATAGTAAATTTCAGAATTTACTTAAAAATACAATCCATCATTTTGAATTAAAATCTAAAAGTTTAAAGCGCGCGTTAAAATAAAAATGAATTAAAATGGTTCAGAACTTAAAAGTAAAGATTCGTTTAGCTTACATATAATACAGTATGTATAATGTAACAAAGATGTGTATAATGTATGAATTATAAAAATACGAATTACTTTACGATTAACAGACATTTAATTACATGATACTGTGCAGTTTTCCTTATTTATAGGAATTGAAAACACATTTTATAAAAACAACCAAAAGACGACTAGGGTCAAAGCGCCAGGATTTTAATCGCGCACTGAAATTGAAAACAGGGACGCGCGCAGGTGCGCTGCCATAAGACACTAACTTATAATGAAATTCAACGGTAAAGGTGCGGTTTGTTAATATGACAAAAACGATCTCATACGTTATTGGATTTCCTAGTCAAATCTTCCCAATAGTGCGCCGAGGCACCGCTAAGCAAATGCGGCTGGTTGGTAATAACGCTGAGCTGTCAGCCCCAAATCCAGATGCCGCAGGTTAGTCTTAATGGGGAAGAATTAAATATCAGCGGCGGCTGTGCGACGCCCTGTTTTATATCTATCTACATTTTTCGCTCTCTTCACTATCTTCTGATGATGATTCCCGGGCAGTTTTAAATGCTGCCTTTTCCATGGCGCTTAAACGATGCGCCTTTTCGGCGGCTAGCTCGGCTCCTTCGGCCAGGCGCAACTGTGACATTTTCGCGCAGCAGATAAGCAGCGCAGGTACCTCATGCAACAAGCCGACGCATCTGAAAGGCATGTATAACAGGCAAGGGGGTGCGGCCAAGGGGACCGCAGGAAAAGCGCGGAGGAAGAGGTCCACCCTCAGGAAAACAAAAGTTTGAGGTAGATCGTAGAATCGGGGCAAACTCTGTTATGGGACTGACGGAGGAAGCATCTTCTTACGTGGATCTTTACGACTTCGTTTAGGATTCCAGGCATCTTCCTTCAGAGGTCCTGGCATGTCTTTTCCATGTCTTACTATCGACCATAAGTAGCATGTATTGGAAAGGCGAACAAATACTTTTATGCAGTAAAGGGGAGGATAAAGGAAATGGGTTAAAGTCAATTTCGAGGGACACGGTAAGTGCCATCAGCCCGCGCTATGGACCTTATTGGTAACGGGCAAATACCGAATAAAACCGGAATGCTGTGTGAGAGTAGCGTAGCCACTCGCTAATTAGAAGTGCCATTCCAAATAAAATCTAGCTTTTTGTTTTTTATTATTCCTCAGGGGGAAAGCGCGCTGGATTGCATGACACTTTAAGGAGGTGTGAACGGGAAGCCCGAGGCGGTGTCTGCTGAGCATTTTGCCGGGACAGTCACACTTTACGCGCACATAACTCTGCAAAGGGTGAATCCCTTTCTTTCAAAATTCAGTCATCTGTTGTGTGTGTGTGTGTGTGTGTGTGTTTCTTTTTTCTCCCCCCCCCCTCTTTAATCCTGCTTTCATACTGGCTCCTCTCACTCTTCACGGGCAGGAACACCAGGCCTTTTAAATCCCCTAATTAGCACTCGAGCGCTTTAATAAGGCACTTAACCTTTCGCGCGCCCCCTGTTCACATGCGTTCTGCGTCGAGTTTAATTGCTGTGATTAAACGAATCGATTCGCTTCTCCCAGACTTGAAACTTTTGATTGACAGCAGAAATTGATATTTTGGCGAGTAAAGCGTTTGGCTGAGACGTCCCAGGTACCGTGAGCTTATCTTGGTCTAAGGCAATAATAACGTGGGGCTAAGCGGCGTGTTTTTTGTAAGCAGGGGCTTTCTAAATGACATCTTAATCATCGCCGGGGTTGTCATGGTGAAAAGGTAAGTGGATATTTATGGGCTGCCAGGAGGTTAAAAGCGCCTCCGGTGCCGGCTCCCGCTCCGCCGCGCGCTCACGCTCCTGTCCTCTCCCTCCCCCCGTCAAGTTTATCGCTATGGCTGAAGATTGCGAAGGGGCAGCGACTGGCTCTTTTGGAAGATGTAGGAGAAGCAGAGGAGATGCTGAACAGGTAGAATTGCTTTTGTTTCTTTTTATGCAGTAGCCGGCTGAAGTCGCTTAGACGCGCAGCAAAGCGGCTCTGACGCGCGTTTGCTGCCTTGCTGGGAACCGGCTGGTGCGTTTCTCACCTCGGCGTCCTGTTTGCATGTCAGGCCTCCACAAATGCTCGGCATGTTTCATTTCCCCCCAGCTGATTTCGGGTGTTCAGATTGACCTGTGCCTCGCATCTGCTCCCCAGAGCACGGCCGAGGAGTTCTTTGAAGAGGACTCCTGCTCCTTATCATCGTCCCTGTCGCCGTCCACGTCGCCGCACAGCATGGCCGCGGCCGCCCTGGACGGCAGAGCGGTGTGCACCAGCTGCGGCTTGGACATTGTCGACAAGTATCTGCTCAAGGTACCTTATCGCACCCTTTTCCATTAAGTATTGAAATGCGAATGCGGGTTTACCTGTCGGCGCTTTTCACTATCAGTTTTCAATGGGAATTTCCGAAAGCGTTTGGGAGGCGTTTTCGCAACCTTCTCCAGCCGCAACAACACGCTTCTGCTCTTAAAATGTTTTTTTTTTTTTTTTTTTTTTTTTCGCTCAGGTTAACGACTTGTGCTGGCATGTGAGATGCCTCTCTTGCAGCGTCTGTCGCATTTCTCTGGGGCGACACGCCAGCTGCTACATTAAGGAGAAGGAGGTGTTTTGCAAACTTGACTACTTCAGGTAATTTGCCTAAATGAAAATTCCTAGGCACCGGTGTGTTGTGTGTGGGTTTTCTTTTTTTTTTTTGTTAAAGTCTAATTTTCACGTGCCTAATTTCCATGAACCGTTTTTCAGTCCAAATTTAGATATTTGATAGTCCAGTATTAGACCATGCCTTTGGTGCATCTAGCAGTGGTGGGGGGCACCTGCTTATCTTAACTGCTGTGACCTGCACACTAGACCAGGAGCTCTTAAACTAATCTGTGCCTATTCCTTGTTGAATCAGCTCCCCTGTCTTCTGAATGTTTGACACATGCACAAAACCAAAGGAGTTATTTGAAACCCCCCCCCCCCGATCTGAGCGGGGTCTTGGGTGTGGCGTCTCTCCTGCCAGCCAGTTGCGCTGCCCCCTGCTTTTTGGAGTCCTCCCCCTTGCCGACAGTGTGACTCGCTGCTTTTCTTTTTACAGAAGATACGGGACGCGGTGTGCCCGCTGCGGCCGGAACATCCACTCCACGGACTGGGTGCGCAGGGCCAAGGGCAACGTCTACCACCTGGCGTGCTTTGCCTGTTTCTCCTGCAAGCGGCAGCTCTCCACGGGGGAGGAGTTTGCCCTGGTGGAGGAGCGCGTCCTGTGCCGCGTGCACTACGACTGCATGCTGGACAATCTGAAGCGGGCTGTGGAGACCGGTGAGTCGCTGAACGGGCTGTGGAGAGCGTCTGCCCATCTGGGCTCGTCCAGTAATGTCTGAACTGGGGTCCACCGCACTGCATTTCACACATGGTATGTAAGACACAGGAAGGTTAATGGCTGCCAGGAGAACGTATATGTCCTGATGACTGGCTTTGACACACTGCCCCCCCCCTCCCTCCCCTACAGGAAGTGGTGTAAATGTAGATGGTGCAGTGCCGTCGGAGCAGGAAGTGAAGCAGCCCAGGCCGGCTAAACGAGCCCGCACCAGCTTCAGTGCCGACCAGCTGCAGGTGGGGGGGCGTGGCCATCTGCCGAGAGCCTGACTGTCAATGCTGCCGCTCTTACTGGTGGGCTGTGCCAGCTGGTGCCCGGCTGTGCCATGACACCGCACTGCTCTTTCCAGGTGATGCAGACGCAGTTTGCTCAGGATAATAACCCCGACGCGCAGACACTGCAGAAGCTGGCGGAGCGGACAGGCTTGAGCCGGCGTGTCATTCAGGTCGGGGCCGAGACCCAGGATGAGTGCTGCCTTTGTCACGCTGCTGTCATTATGGGAGGCAGCACTGGTTACGGCACCTGTCGGTGTGGCCGGTCTTTACCTGGGAAGGGGTCTCCCTGCATTTAAGTTTTCCATATGAAGATTGACTGAGGATAAGGTTGCGTCCCGCAGTGCCTGGGGTGGCTTTGCATGTCACCCCCCCCCCCCCCCCCCCCCCCCCCCCCCCCCCCCCCCCCCCCCCCCCCCCCCCCCCCCCCCCCCACCACCCCAAAGCCGACACTGGAATCCCCCATTGGGGAGGGAGACACTGTCATGCCAGGAACGATTTTTCAGGGTTGTGGGTTTTTTTTTTTCTTTTTCTGACCGGCTCACAGGATGCCCCTCACCCCACAGGTTTGGTTCCAGAACTGCCGCGCTCGTCACAAGAAGCACGTGAGCCCCAGGCACGCCTCCGCTGCCCCTGTGTCCTCTCTGCCGGCCCGCCTGTCTCCACCGCTGATGGACGAGCTGCATTTCTCCTCCTTTGGCCCGGCGGATGGGCCCATGCTCACTGCACTGCATTCTTATGTGGATGGTAAGAGCGCCCCCACCTGGCAGTGGCTGGTGACACTTGAATGCATCGGACTTCCTTTGTGCGCTGCAGGAGTTGGTTGGCTCCTGGTAAAGTGTAGCTTTATAAACGTCAGAGTACTTTCTGTTCAGAGGACATCTTGAAGCCTTTGTGGCTGTCTTGGGTGGGAGGGTTATGTGCATCGATATTTGGTTCCCACAATGTTGTGGGTTTATTAAATAAATAAATGAAAAACCTATTAAACTTGGAACTCCCCCCTAATCGCAAAGTGAAAATGCCAAAATTCTTCTATAAATTGGTACCTTGAGGTTATAGCTGTGTGGGGGTTAGGGTTTTTCTATAGAGATTGAGTCCCCACAATGATGTGTGCTGCACAGCTGCTGGCTCCCTCGCGCTCTCACTCTGCTCCCCCCTCCCCACAGTTCACTCTCCGGCGGTGGTATTCCAGCCCCTGCTGTCTCACTCCATGACGCAGCTTCCTGTTAGCCACGCCTGAGCTGCCTGGGTGGGGATCTGTGACCAGGGTCCACACAGGTCAGAACTGTCTGTGCAGCACAGCGAGACCTGCCACTCGAACCCAGGGGCAGAAGGAGGTGCCCCCACCCTCACAGGAGGGGAAATAATTCAGTGTTAAACGAGGTTGTTGTAAAACTTTTTTTTTTTTTTGAATATATCTATTGGTGAGTAAATTCATGGTATTAACTTATTTTGTGTATGTGACAGAGCACTTTGTTTTAAAATAAAATGGCTGCAGAAGTGGACTTTCCGGTCTTGTCTTTATGGCTTTGAATATGGGGTGGCTGGTCAGGGCCGTGTGTGTGTGTGTCCAGCATTTCTAAGATGACAAAATCATTACTTAAATGTGAAGCTGCCCAAGACCATAGTGGTTGCAGTTACTGGATTTTGCTGCCTTTCTCCAATTTGCGAAGTTCTAGAATTGCATGGCTGTCAGCTGTATGCTTCCCTCTGGAATGTGGCAGACGTGCATTTTGATCCTGCATGTTCAGAGCCTGATGGCCCTAAAGCTGCCCTGGGCAACTTCCTCTGGTGCCTCAAAGCGGCCCTGCAGCGCTGGGTAGGACTTGGCCATTCTGTCCCGGGGGCTTCCCTCAAGCCGTCGGCTCCTGCAGGCAGAGCATGCAGCAGAGGGTGAGTGCTGACCCAAGACATGAACTGCTAGATCCCTCTGGAGGCAGGTGTAGGGTACTACAGCTCATGCTTGCTGGCCACATTTCAGATGCTGGGGGGTTAAATTCTGCAAGTTGACCCCTCCCTCCCAATATCACTCAAGGAGGGGGGAAAAACCCAGATATGAGCAGTTAAGCCGTGACTTGAATTATAGTTTATTTAGAAAATGCTTTCATTGACTGGTTTACAAAAACGTCCATTACAAAGACATTAAATACCCCTCCCCAAATTACAAAAACAAGTAATTAGAATTGTAAAAAAAGGTAGCACTTGACTACAGCCCTGTTTTTTTTTTTTTGTTTTTTTTTAATTAAAAACAAAATACCAAAAAATGGCTTTTACATCCTCAAACTTCTAAAAGGTTCTGTGCATCACGATTTCCTGGGCTAGGCACGTTCACTAAGATGCAGGTTTCCTGGCTGGGTGGCTGTCCGGGGAGGTCAGGCAGTTTTATGCAGCGTTGGTGTAGGAAGCCAGTGGCTGGGTGGGGTGCAGTGGGGGCTGCAGGGGTAACATGCTGCACTCATTGGCCGAAGGTTTTTTTTTGGCGTGTGGCTCATGAAAATACTGTCTCATGACACCAACTAGCCAGGGGGGAGAAACATGGAGCTGGTGTCAGTCTGAGCGAACCCTGTTTGGTGAGGGGGGAGGGGGCACTCTTCACTGTAATCAGCCCTTGTACTAAATGCTAAAAACAATACTGACAGCCAGAAGACATCACATTCTGGTAAACATGGGTTGGTGACTGCACACTGCCACCACTAGGGGGTTCATTGTGGTCACATCTGAACTGATCATCCTTTAACCTGTAAGAATCATCAATTTGTGCCCTGTAGAGTAAAAATGTTTGCTGGGGTTGGCAGTCAGATGCAAACAGGCTGAGCTTCGTGCCTCCACATTGGTCCTGATAGTGTCAGGCTCCGCAGGACAGGCCCCAAGGGACAGGCGGACGACTGACCATCCGTCACACCAATGACAACCCATTTGACAATGGGAGTTGAAGCAGCAGTGAGCAGGAGGAGGAGATGCAGTGTCGGAGGAAAGCCAAGTCGTCAGTTCCTCAGATGGTAAGGAGTGAGAGGAGCAGTCTGCTTCCTGCCCGAGGGCTCATGTTTGGTTGGGCCTCGCCTGCTCGTGGCTCACTGCCTGTCTGGTCCCTGGAAGAGCACAGGGAGCCCAGCCAGGGCCTGTTAAAGCATGCCTGGGAGCAGCCTGTCCCTGCTGCTGGGGGGCGCTCATCCACGTGCCTTCTTGGGACTCTGCTCGCTTTTTCCCAGAATCCTGTGCAGGCTGGGCGACATGAGGAAGGGCTTGGTGGCTGTCCCGTCGTTCCTCTCCAGATCCTCACCTTGAGTGAGGCATGGGGGGGGAAAGGAATGAGAGTTAGCTCTCAGGGCCTGTGAGGTGGGGGTGCGCAGAGGGGTGGCAGACTTACAGAAGCAGAGGAAGAGCGTGTCCACGCACATGCCATAGACGCTGAAGAAGCCGTGAGCGATGAGGTATGAGCCCAGGATCACAGTCTGCCAAAAACACACATCATTAGACCCAGCTCATGGCGGCCATGATGCTCCGCCTCCATGGAAGGGGGCCACACAACAGCCACTGGATTTCCCAGAATCCCTCCCGGCCGTGATTTGCTTACCAGCAGTGGCACCCAGTAGTAATTGAGTGATGGCACCTCCCCCTGGATGATGGGGATCTTGTGCGTGAAGAAAAAGAAAGCCAGGACACCTGCAGTGGGGAGACGCACGGTGGTCAGCACGCACAAGAATACATGTGCAAACCCCGCCCCTTTTACTGCTTTTAGTGTTCAGATCAAGCTCTGGTCATGTAGTGAATGACCGTGGCCAGCAGGGGGCGTAGCAATAAACACCACCACTGAGTGGCACTCACCCACGCTGCCAGCGATGAGCACCTTCCCCAGAAACAGCAGGAAGTCTGTCACCTTATCCAGCACGGCCACCCTACCAGCGGAACAGAGCCCAGTGAGAGAGCGGGCCATGCGAGCGCTGTGCCAAACTCGGGCCAGGCCCGGCTCGGGAGGGTCTTACCTCACCACGTTCCTCATCAGCAGGAAGAAGGCCTCTCTGGCTGATGTGCAGAAGTTCTTCCCATATATAGCAATCTGCAAGACACAGCCCCAGCCAGGAGACTTTAAAACCTAGATATGGAACTGACCTTGTTGCTAGAGTCCCATAGCACCTTCTGTCCACCAGATGGCAGCAGAGTGCTGGGGCCAGTAGCCGCAGCTCACCATGATGTAAGCGTTTCGGTTCATGAACTTGATGATGCGCTCCAGGCACCAGAAGCAGCACTTGAGGCAGCAGAGCAGGAAGCGGGAGAACATGTTCTGAGCACCTGCAGAGAGGAGGGCAGTCAGCGGTACCACAGGCAGGGGAGCAAGGAGCCGGTGCCCTGCTGTGGTCAGACAGGGCAGCTGAAGCCTCTCTGTGTTCCCCTGGTGTCCCTGGCAGACTAGTGCCTCCTATGTCACAGATAACGGAATCGTAAAGATGCTGGGTCACCTTTCAGTTTGTGGTCCAGGTACTCGAGGACAATTCGGATGAGCTGGACCACGGCGAGGATCAGTGAGCCGAAGGCCAGGGATCCTGTGTGGTACCTGTGTGGGTCAAACCCACAGCAGTTACAGTGGTTCTAGGACTTAGGATATGCCAACCAAACCTTCCAGCTGGCTGGACAGTCATTGTGAGCAAATGACAGTGAGTGCTTCTGCATTCACCCAAAATAGACAGCAGAGGGCAGCAGAGCACCTGCAAGATCCCTTTCTCATAAAACTAAAACAAAGCACATGTGCACAGGCAGCATAGAGAGAGGAACACGCGCTGCTGGCTCTCTGCTCCGGGATGAAGGGGCTCTGAGATGCCAGTTAATGAAGCGAGGCGTTTCTCTGAAATGTAGCTGTATCCCGATAATGCAGAGCGCAGCACGGCTCACCGTACAGCTCTGCTGAACGCGGTGAACAGCGGACAGGGGGGGATATCCGCTGGCTTCTTCAGAGCCCAGTAGTAGGAAGCGAAGGCCCCGGCCAGCGTGCACTGCCCCAGCGCAATGCTGAAGTTGATCAGCCACAGGAAGACGAGCAGATTGCAGAGCTGCAGCACGAAGATGTAGCGATGGTAGAGGCCCTCGCCGCCGTAGAAGGCGAAGGTGCACTGGGCACCTGCACACACCCTGCTTACGTTGGTCTTGTTGAAGGTCTGAACGAGACACCCAAGAAAAGTGACATCTTAATGTTATGTAACGGAACCTCTAAGACATGATTAAACTGTAAATTAAAATTTTAATTCTATTAATAGTCTAAACAAAGGCCATTTCGAAGTAACGCCAAACTTCTGGGTGTCTCTAAACCTCTCAAAGTGTTTTTGTTTTGGTTGTGCGTGACCACTGAGCGTTCCACAGGTAACACTGACCAATCAGAACACAGATGGCAGGAAGTAAGAGCAGCGCACCTCGGGGTTACAGGTCATGTTGGCGTACATGCAGTTGGGCTGTGAGGGCATCACTTTGTAGATGGCATCTCCCGAGGAGGCCAGGAAGCTGAGATGGGAGCCGGTTAGGGAAGCCAGTAGGTAGGCTGGGCTGCAGGATGCGTGAACGTCTAAGGGGATTGGAAAAGCCGAGCAGCAATACAACAATATGACAGGCACCATCTAAAGGGAGCATTCGCACACGGACCCTGGGGCTGCATTATTCTGTGAGCTGCTGCTCCTTTTAAAAACGCATGACATCACGGTTCGATTGTTCTGCGTTTCTTTTTGATGGTTTCATAAAAGTGAAGGAGCTTGCACCATCTGCTGGCCAACTTGTGTAAATACAAAAACCACCCTGCCACAATCCCCCACACTTTATGTAATAACTGGCATTTAAGTTTTTTTTTTTTGCTTTTTCGCTATGGCAGCCCAGACACTTTCCTCAGCCTCACACAAAACAGTTTTTCAGCCACTTAATCATTTGCGACCAAGTGTACTTGAGGCCCAGCAGAACAGATGGCCTGGCTGCTCCCCCTGGGGGATACGGCTGTCCAGAGAGATGCCTGAAGCCAAACTGGCCAGGACCCCAAAAAACCAGTGCATAAACTGGCCAGGATGGATCACAGACACCTTACATGATCATCCGTATAAATAACGATGAGCTGTCACTGGTGGGGAGTCAACACAGCATAGCTGAAATCCCTGGGTGAAGGAGCACCCCTCGTGCCCCCCCACCCCGGTCCATGAAAGACGGCTCCACACCACACGGCTGAGAGGATACACCGCCGTCACAGCCCAGTAGGAGGTGCAGATGGCCAGGAGCAGGAAGGTGACTACGGGGTAGAAGATGCTAGACTTGATGCAGCCGATGGCCCTGGTTAGGAAGAACACAGTGGCACATGGTCAGCCATACCATCCCATAGCCATCGTCCGGGATACCACTGACATCGCAGAAAACACACTGGCTGGTGCTACGCTTGAATCACTAAAGCAAAATAACCAAGTATACTATACTGAGAGGTCTGAGCAGAAATGACACTCTGTAAACACAGAATAACACACTACACCTCCAGGAGACACCTCTAGGGGGCCACCGGTGGGCCACACTCACTTACTTGCTGCCCTCCTTGAGCAGTGCGATTGCGACTCGCACCCTGTTCCTCAGGAACACCAGTATCAGGATGATGACGGCCTCAATGACGGACAGTGAGATCACTGCAAGCACAAAGGAGCGTGTCAGCCAGGCGGGGTTGCTCTCACGGCAACACGCGCATGCCAGCCGGTGCCTCAGTTGCTGTTACATACGCAAGGGCCGTGATGTTGCCATGATGCGCTGCGTGACCCTGTTATGGACGTCATGCGAGCAGGCACCATGATGCGCTGCATGGCCCTGTTATGGACGTCATGCGAGCAGGCACCATGATGCGCTGCATGGCCCTGTTATGGACGTCATGCGAGCGGCTGGCTGGCACACGGATGCTAATGCATGTAGATGTGAGAATGTGAAGCAGCGGTGAGTCATGCTGGTGCTCTAAGGACCCACATCCCCACTTTCAGCCTCAAACCATAAGAAGCACGATTTGGAGGCTCAAAGCAAAGCCCTTGTATCAAATGAGTTTTTCTTGTGGCATTTCTGAATCAATAACTAAGGGTCGCTGCCCAGGAGCTGACAGGTCAGGTTGGGGGGGAACCTGTCCAGTGACGGTCACCGGGATGACTCTTGGTGACAGACAGAGAAACTTACTGAAGAACAGCCAGGTCTGGCTGAGCTGCAGGTAGATATGCAGCTCGGTCTGGAAGCCGATGTCCGAGATGGTGACGTCACTGTTTGGCTTCACCCTCAGCGTGACAAACTCCCAGTAACAGTGCCAGATACCTGATCAGGAAAGGGGGGATCAGAGACACAGAGACACACATGCAGAAAGACGTGGGCTGACAGGCAGGCTGCACTCCAGGCTCTCCTCCAGCATGAAGCTCACGGTCCCACACACACTGACCATATCCCACCACAGCGATGACCCCAAAGATGGTGAACCAGAAGAGGAAGCCAGCAGTGAACCTCAGGAGAAGGATGAAGGTCAGGCTGATCAGCATGGCCACCACCAAGCCACTGTGAAGACATACGGATGCACACGTGGTGAGAATGCCAGGTAACCATGGAGACACACGTGTGCGGCAGCGAGAGCTCAGGGTAGCTCTGACGTCCGCATGTGAAGCGATGTTAATGAAAGCCTCTTTACGGCAGAGAAAGCAGCCCCCTCTGCTGGATGGCCTCCATCCATGTCACTGTTCATGTCTTCTGCTATATCGTACCCAACATATAAGCATTTAGGTCAAAAGACTGCTGCCCCCTGCAGGCACCCACAGGCACTTACATCACAATCCAGTACCAGGAGTTGGCGAAATCCTCAAAGATCTTCATGCCGACTTCCTTGGCATGCAGGAGGCCAGTGATGCCACTGTGGGTGACAGGGAAGCAGACTTTGTAAGCCAGGGAGCGACTAGGAGAGTCACCAGAGAACAGCATGAGCATGCTGGGAGGAGGACAGAGGGATGTGGGGGTCGGGGGGTGGAGCATGGTGGATCAAAAGGGGTCAGAGGGATGTGGAGGTCAGAGGATGGAGTATGGCGGATCAAATGGGGTCAGAGGGATGTGAAGGTCAGGGGGTGGAGCATGGTGGATCAAATGGGGTCAGAGGGATGTGGGGTCGGGGGGTGGAGCATGGTGGATCAAAAGGGGTCAGAGGGATGTGGAGGTCAGAGGATGGAGTACGGCGGATCAAATGGGGTCAGAGGGATGTGGAGGTTGGGGGTGGAGCATGGTGGATCAAAGGGGGTCAGAGGGAAGTGGAGGTCAGGGGGTGGAGCATGGTGGATGAAATGGGGTCAGAGGGATGTGGGGGTCGGGGGTGGAGCATGGTGGATCAAAAGGGGTCAGAGGGATGTGGAGGTCAGAGGATGGAGTACGGTGGATCAAATGGGGTCAGAGGGATGTGGAGGTTGGGGTGGAGCATGGTGGATCAAAGGGAGTCAGAGGGATGTGGGCGTCAGGGGTGAAGCATGGTGGATCAAAGGGAGTCAGAGGGATGTGGGCGTCAGGGGTGAAGCATGGTGGATCAAAGGGAGTCAG